ATAACTTGAGCTACAACGGCCCATTTCTTTATTATCTATGATTATTGAACGCTCCTCACTCCGCCATCCGTTTTCGATAATAATGATTATAAAATCATATACTATGTAGATAAAGATAAAAAAACACTCATTAGCAGTTATGGAACTTTGTCTCTCGAGTCGAATTTTTCTTCATTTGACTTGTTAACATTACAGTTTTTTAGATTAATGTAAGTTTAAGATAAAGGGGAAAAAGGTGCAAACCCCAAAAGTTACATATTTGATCCATATACCATACATATACAAAATATACGTACAAAATGTCATCTTCCCGGCTTTATTAGGATGTCTGCAGGGATGTGCAAAACTAAAAACACCCTCCTCCCAGAACAAAATGACAAAGTTCAACATATTGAAATTTAACCAACTTTTTATCATTTTAATCTACCTACAAATGAAAAAAAGAACACTAATTTAATTTAGTTAATTTGGTCTAGTGTAGCCTAGTTAAAAAAATTTTCGAGTACCGGGAAATATACAGACACAGTATACAAATCAATTTACTATTTTCGGGGAAAATTCGATAAAAAGAAATAATTATTATTCAGTTAATATAATAATGTTATCATTTCGTACATAATACGATAAAATCGCTCTGTTCCGCCTTATGCTCCTATATAGGAAGTATATAAGACAGGTTCCAACTAAGACGAAGGGGTTATTATCTATCCCCGTACCCCTCTTAATAATAATTCTCGGATTCTGTCTCTGGCAGATATCCATTTCGGCAGCGAGCATATCCACTTACCCCTTCGGCAAAATGTTCCTTGGGAGTCCTGCAGTTCATGACGTCGTACCGGTAGTCCATCGGCGTCCGGGGCATTAGTAGCCGGGTTAATCGTATAGCCGTGTAGGATTAATATTGTATACACTGGGAAAGTATTTTATTTGACGAGCGGACGAAAGCGAAAAATAAAATTTGAAAAATAATAGGAAAAAAAAAAAACAACTATAATATAATAACAATAACGATTATAATAAACAAACCGAACGGTACGCGGACGAGGAGCGCGGACGACGGCACAACCGGTTGCACAACGCGTCACACGACGAGCGGCCGACTGCGCCGGACCGAAACTCGGCGAGCGCTGCGCCACGCCGCGCCGTGTGCACCTTTCGCGGCGTACCGCGCGCGCGCGCACACCATAACTACACCGGTTTGTCGGGTTTGCGAGTCATACACCGTCGCGCCGTACGGGACGTAATGTCGCGACCGTCCGACGCATGTGACCGTTTCCCCGTCCGCGCTGCTGTATTTCACACGGATTTTTTCTGTTTTCCTTTACCGAACCCTGATCGTTACGAATTCGTATCCGCGCGCGCGTGTCACGGGACCGCGTAGAAAAAAAACCCGGCACCGGTCCGACGGTGATACCGACCCGTACCGACAAACGGATCGCGGCCTCGCGGTCTCGCGAGGCGAGATTTACAGGTTGACGTTTAACTCGTTCAGGAACACTGTTTTCATCGCGGTAGTATCGATGGGAGATGGCGAGTAGGGCTCGGGGATCCGGGTCGGAAAATGTTTAAAGGCGGTCGATTTCGGAAATGTTTCGGCGGACACGGAGAAATCACCGTCGTCGTTCCAACGTAAGACCGTTTTGCCGTCAAAAAAATACACTCATCAAAATTAATTTTGAAGATATTACATATTACGAGTGTTATACACATTAGTCAACATTATAAAATTCAATAATTAAAGATAATATATTCGTCAATATTTAATAATAAAAAAAAGTGAGATTTGCGTAAAAAAATTTTTTTTTTAACCAATTTTGGATGGCTGTATCTCAAATAATTTTAGATATAATTAAAACTTTACATAATGATCAAATTGGCTTAGAAAAAATTGGAATATTGGAATATTTCGTATCAAATGCCAAAATCATACTAATTTACAATTTTTAAAAAAGTAATTTATATAACGCATCAAAATAGTTAAAAATGAAAATTTATGTGTGTGTTTCAGTATCCTTTATCAGAAGTAAGAAAGTAAAATTCAAACCCATGCAAATAATAGCGACACTTATATATAAGTTACATACATTTAAAAATTTTTGTATTGTTAGAAATAAAACGATCTTTAAATGTAGCCACAAATTCAAAATATTTTTATAATAATAATTATAATAATTATTTTCTCCTTGCAGTTGGTTGAACTTGATTTTTGTCAAAGTTTCTTTGAAATTAATTTGAATATCTAAAAATAGACAGTAAAAATCTTTAGGAGTAATATAGTTAAATACTGAATAATGTAGTTAAAAATAATTAAAAATAATTACACACACCTAATTAATGTAGTAAAATATTAAAATACGATACTTTTATTTTGACTTGTTTCAAGTTTCAAATTGTACTTCAAAATAATAATTCAATTAATCAACCAAGGTTTTATATTATTGAAATTTTACCCTCCGTTTCATCCTTAATTTCCTTGAAGATAAAAAATTAGCATAAGATTTTTAAATGTATCCAACAAAGTTCAAATCATCTAGATAAAGATATTTTTAGTTCATTTAGATCATCTTAGATCACCAATATGCTGAATTTTCGTATAAAAAAAAATGTGGCTAGTACAGTTTTATGGTGTAACTCGATTATAAATCAAGCTTGGTAATTGTTATCAAAATATGAATAATATTGATAGGTATAACAAGTTAGTTATGCATATTCGGTATTCCATATACATTAAATCATAATGTATTGATTCACCTGAAATCGAAATAATTAAAATTTGTATAGGTACATAATAATAATAATAATAATATGTATTTCAATATATTTTGTACAGCTACTTGGCTTAAACTTACCAATTAATTATATATTGTCTTTGGCATTATCCAACTCACATGTGTAGAAACTAATTAAATTAATTACTTATATGTTTGATAAATTATTAAATAAAATACATGATCATAAAAAAACCATTTATGACATAATTACTGTATATAATTTTAATTGTTATAGCAATTGTATCGAAATAGATATTAGCATAACTGAAAAAAAAATGTTTTCAATAGGTGATCTTGTAGGTAATGTATTATCATCACAAGTCACACCGTGGTTTTACCTAATAGATTATAAATATTTCTTTACTATCGCGAATCGGCCTTGCCGTCTGCATGTAGTAGAGATTATCAGTTATAACCTTCATACCTTGGGAACTTTTACACTGATATCACTTAAAACTCCCGGTGTAATACATAAGACTGTCTGTGTAACGAACTGCGCGCGGAATTTTAACTTTACACTACTACTCTCCTCCCTCCTATAACTTAAAAGTGGAATATCTCGTCAACGGGTTGACGGATATCAAAAATTTCAAGACCAAAATTTATTTTAAATAATATTCCATCTATTTAAGGCATTTTTAAAAGAGGGTGCCGTTTGAAAATCAATAGTAGGTAGTCAGTTCACTCCCAATAATAAGAAGTGCAAAAGAAATGATAACGTAATATTTTAGAACTATTTGTTTCTTAAGTTTTCAGGCAAAATATATTTCGAAAAAAGTTAATACTTTCCGAGTAATGAATGTTTCCAGTTGAGTGAATCACTCTGCGTAATTTTCGATCAGATCAATATTTTGAATTTGTCACCACGTTTAAAGATGGTTTTATTTCTAACAAAACAAACATTTTAGAATTTATGTAATTTATAAATAAGTTTCGCTATTATTTATCGCCTATTTTAAAATTCACTATTATCAATTTGCTTTTTTTTACATTCGCGGTTATTTGTTTCGCTATTTTGGCTTAGATTAAGTTACACGTTGATACAAGGTTTTTATATGAATAATATTATCATTTTCGTGATTCCTAGTGTAAACACGAATCTAATCATTTTCGAAAACACTGTTTAATTTTATTGAATTTTGAAATAAGTGTTATTGTAGTAGTGACGATATAGGAGTAATGTGTTTTGTAGGAGTTCGCGCCAAAGTGTAAGTTGCCAACTTTGTCACGAACGTAATAGCACCAAGTCCATACAGGTGGTGTCCTCGGATGGACAGACGCGCGTGGCAGTTGAAGGAAAAAAAAAATCCAAAACTTAAAACACACACACTCATACTCGGAATTTTCATGCCAAGTAGTTAATTGTAATTTACGACGCGGTTGTCGGCGGCGATGAATGACAAAAGTCTACCGCATTATTATATATATTTTTTTTACGTCTATCTCGACCGTCACCGAGAGCATATTATCAAAACGACACGCGACGGACTCTCGGCAATAAGTGTAAAATAACAAGTCAATTATTTCCTTGGCCAATTCAAAATTGACGATCTCCCAACCTTCTAATCAGAGCTTCGAACTTAAATGATTTTTATTTTTCTATTATTTTTTTTTTGTCGTTCGTATCTACATGTTGGTTCCCTATCATGATGCTGTTAACTGTTCCAAAAAAGCTAATGTCCTATGAACTGTAAACTTAAAATCTAGTCTATGAAAAACTATTCGTTCTATGTTTGTCGGATCCGAATCCCCGACCATATTGATGTTTGAAACCGCCTGTTGACACATATTTAAAATAGTGACTGCAGGAACTGGCTTATGAAATTGGCGTTTTTATTTTTATATAACGATTTATTTATAGTGCTGAGACTATATACGTTAATCGTACCGATCTTTGCCACGTAATAATATTCGTATTAAACGATTTCGGACACCGTTATTCCGTACCGTTTTTGGTTGCAATTAAATTTGAGTTAATATGACCAGGATAGGTTCACTCGAATAGAATATTATTAGTAGTATAAAAAGGGGGATTCTACCCCAGGAGCAGGAGCAGAAGCAAGGATCAAGTGCTATACCTATACATGGCCGCCCGAATTGTCCACCACTTCATAGACCATTTAGGTCACGCCCACTTTCGACATTATTACCACACTGTTATCGCGGTTATACCTACTGTTATTTCAAGATATACCTTATCTCGTTATACATAAACCGTTATACATATATCGGTATACCTACTATTATCACAAGACGATGTTTCCACGTATCTTATACATAGCCAGTATTTCGTATACCTATACAAAAATATACAAATACGCTTATACCTATTTATTTAATTTATTCAGATAAAACATAAAACTGCGTAAGTATTAGTAATGATTAACTATTGAAAATGTACCGAATATTCAGTGTTATCACACGCACACAATACAAACAATGTGTTACGCGTTAAAATCGTTCAGTTTTATTCATTTTAAAATTTCATATACAATCAAATATACTTTTTTGATTTAGTTAATATCGTATTTTTACTCGGACTTTATAGTGATCAATAATATATTATAGAAGTAAAGTGTATAGGATAATAGATAATGATTATTGTATCTTATAATTGATAAGTTATAAATGTCGTAAGTACAAGTTTTATTATAGTATTGTAAACGTTAAATCAGAGATAGTATAATAATGAAGTAGATAAATAATTTGCCACTATATTGATGGGTGGAACAGCATCTCCGTAGGAAAGTCGCTTAATAATTTGTATTGAGGGTAGTATATTTATTTTTTAAAAGTTGTAACGACGATAGTAATCTGGCATTCTATAATACTGCGGCTCCTCTTGGTAGTGGTTCAGACCCTGAAAATAATCGTTCTATACAGACGTGTGGATCCGCCCGTTTATAATAATATCATATTAATATAGTTACTTTGGATCCATGTAGAGCCCTCTGCTTGCGTGTATATCCGTTATTAATATAGTAATCTTTGGGGGAGACGAACAACGGAGCCGGTACCACAGGACCCTCCAACCATCCTTCTGGAATAGAAAACATCATAATATAAGTGTTTTAACAAAGATAATAGATACTTATCTACAATAATATTATAACTTTCATTTTCCTCATTTTATTCTTTATACCACCCTGGTGGAATCAGCTATTCTTAGTTTTGCCCCTCCCCTCCACACACATCTCAATTCACAAACTCAACAATTACTTTTTCTCTAACCTATTTCTTTCCCGTCTTTCGTCCACACACTTACATAATATCTCATCTAACTTAATGACCGGTCATACTAATTTAATTTATTTGCTCTAATTTTACGGCTATACCCGCTGTGCGAATCTATTCCTAATATATCCAATAGAATTTAATCTGGTTACACTACACGCTCATCGCCTCAATATTCTTATTTTTTTTATCCCATGCCCAACATTCAGACCCGTTTATCATAAACGATAATTGTAAATGCAAAAGTTTGTTTCGATGTTATGATAAGTACTACTTCCAGCCCAAACTACTACTCCGATTGAGCAGACATTTTGCATACATGTTGTTCTAGATTAACAATAACGTATTCTTTCTCCACCCCGTATTAACCCCTAAAGAGAGTCTGATACAGGTTTATTGGTTTGTTGGTAATTGGGAACGTAATTATTTTTGTTGAGTAATGGGTTACCTTGGTGATACGGATGAAAAAAAGAAACAAAATAATACAATAAACATTATTAATAATAAGGTAGTGGCGCCGTAATAGCATGTAATGATAATTTTTATATTATTTCTTTTGACACAGGCAATGCCAGGTGGACCAGTTAGTATGTCATATATGCTATGCACAATAATTAATAATCGACAACATAGTAGTATAACGTTAAGTGAAGACACGGCCTATTTCAGTAGTATACGTACGCGTAACTCGTATAGTATAATATACATAGGTGTAATGATGTAACGAATGAAAATATTAATCTACATGCGGTGTAGCGGTGGAAATAGGCTAAATGCTTGGTAATATAATTTTAGCGAAAATAATGATTAATAATAAACACTTGTCCTCGAAATCCCAATAAAGGAGAAAATTACGCCGACAAGTCCGAAAGTAAAAATGTGTATGAAATTAATACTGGCGGTGCGGCGGCGGCGGTGGCGTTTAGTGTTCATACCTGTATGATGTATATTATTATTTTTTATTAAAAAAAAATAATTTTAAATTGTTATTATGATTGACATTAAAATATATATAGATAACCGCACTAACACGCGTCAAACACTGATACACGATATAAATATATGAGTACGTACACATCACTTGTTTTGGGATTACACATTTAAAAACCATAATTTGAAGTTATCACGATATTTTAACACTTACCAGGGACGTCTTCTTCATCGTCTTCTTCTTGTAGGTCATTGTCCATGTATGGATCTGTTTCATATTCATTCAAGCGACCGTAGTGTTGTCTGGAACCTCTAAAAATATGTGTCGTGAGTATATATAATTCATAAAATAGACTAAATAGACTTACATAAAATAACTATATAATACACCACGGATAATATATTTTTAATTTGCCGTTTAAAAAGTTTACCTATTTAACTTTAAATGTTCTTAATCGTGTTGCAAAAGACAGTTTTGTTTAAAAACCGTAGTAATTTATTAAGAGCTAAGTTAAATTTGTTTTTAATCGAAGCGTTAATGTTCCCTTATGTATATTGTTCTAAATTTATAATTCTACTACCACAGCAGAGTTTTGCACAAAGGCTGTTAATATAAAACATTGGAATTTATTTTTGATTAAAAAAAAACTGAGCATTTAATTATTCATATGTTTTGAGGACTTCTGGATATGACCATGGAACACTTAAAAAATTATAGTATCACAATTATTTACAATAACCAAGTTTTTCATTATACAATATATGTTGTAGATATATTTCATTATATGAATTTAATCAGTATTAATATAGGTAGAGGAAGGACATCCCTTTAATGCTGTTCTTATTTTATTGTTACGTTTGACCGCCTAGAGCTCGACCTCGACAGTACTCATACATAATAAAAACTATTCTACAGTAACAATATATATTATAATATTGTATATTACAAATGTACAATTAGATAAAATAATTTTTAGGTATATTACAGTCAGATTTCGTTTAACTTTCAATATTAAAGGAGTCATCATCATACTCCTTTGCTAATATTCAGAATTCGTTTAGAATATAATATCTATTGATTTTAATAATGATAGTTTATACAATTGTATAATACCTATAACGGAAACAATCCATTGTTTTGAATTTTATAAACTTTATAACTCAAAAGATACCAGCTACTAGCTATGTATCTAAAACATATATAAAGAGTCAACGGAGGTGTTCATGTTAGGTAGGTAAATATTATTGAAATAATTCAGGTGGGACAAATCGCATAATTATTATTAGAAAAGTGGAATTTACCGTTAAAAATATATTCGTAATTTAACCAGTAAAATTTACGTAAATTACAGTAAATCTGATACATTTTTTATTAGAAATAAAATCACATATACATAGATGTATTCATATAATACAGATATTAATACGAATATGAAATACCTATAAATAAAAAAATAACAGTATAGAGTAACTATTATTGATTTTTTTGTTTCTTTTAAAAAATAAAATAACTAAATGAATTTCTAGTCTTTGAAAACAAAAATAAAATTGTATAATACCATTTATAGACTAATAATAGTAATAAAGTTTCAAATTGTACCTAATAGGTATATAAGGTTGAGAATATATTGCAAATGCATAAAATTAAATATTGAGAAAAAAAAATACTTATGTTTATGTTATTAAGATTGTGAAAAAAAAACACAGTAATACTTATAATATACAACGCACAAGTTAAATCACTTTAATGTGTGATAGTGAATGCTCGTTAAAAATTATAATATTATAGTTAGATATCTAACTAACTCTTAAATTGAAGCGATGTCTATATTTTAAGGTGAAATAATTAATCAAAATCCAATATTTCACAAGAAATATTTCAAACTTTAAGCACCATTCATAAACGGTAAATCTGATATTAGTATTATGCAAATCAACACTTTTATAAAAATATTTTCTAGAGGGGTACAAAATTAAAAATGGTATTAAAATAAAGCTACAACGATTCCAAAATGATAAAAAAAAAAAATATAAATCAAATTCGCTTAAAATCCTCCGAGAAATATTGATAGTTCACTATAAAAGAATCGCCCTGTATAGTATCTACAAAATTGATATGTATCGTTTTACCGCAGAAATTGCGGTAAAGCTAAATAAAACAGAAATAAAGGGTTCACTGTTCCTCTTTTGCCACTATCCTCAAAATACGTTAGTGTTATAACAATATTATATATTGTTTATAGTAAGTCAGTTACGTGCCTGGATTGTTCGTGGACCTTATTTTGTTTGCGTTCTGCTTCCAAGAGTGTCATCAATGCCAGCAATTCCTCGGGATCGACGTCTAAGTCTCGTTTGGCACGTCCGCTGTCGGCGTAAGAACGGTATACTCTAGAACCGCTTTTATATTATACATGAAAAAGACATAATAATGGTATTAAAATACGATGGACTGCGAACTAATGTAATAAAATATAAAGACAAAATTGTAATTGAATAAATGGACTCGTTGAAAAGGACGTATATTATAAAATGTTCGGTGGATAATAAATTATATATGCTGGAACTTAAAAGCATTACGAGACTGATGACATTTTTATGAATTCTTTTTCGAAAACTTTTTTCACATATATATATACATATTTGCTATTCAGACAAAATACATAATTCGTGCCGAAAAATTACGTCTTACCTCCTTTTAACAGGAGACCCGAAATGGTAAGCGTTTCTCTTGTGACGGTCGTCGGCGTCCAACGATTGAAGTCCATAGGAATCTGTAGTAATGAAAAACGCAATTAATATAATTAATAAAATTATAGCATTAGTGTCGAGCATATTTTATTATGATAAAACCGGACATAAATCATGCTATGGGCAGACCACTGATTTAGGTGGGTACTTGTTGGGTAAATAAATATATAAACAAATGTATATATATAATGTATATATAAAAATAAAATAAATTAATGAATGCGTCGCCTAGAGCAGTGGTAGCATAGTAGGGTATTTGATGAGGCGATGGCCTCATGATCAATTGGGTGGTGGTACCCCTAGGCTAAAAATAAATAGTTATTGTTAACTGATACTCAATACTTAATATTTTATTATTTAAATAAAGGTTCATTATTATTAACATAAAGTATATATGAATATTTATGTTAAATTAATTATATTTCACTAATTTACTTTAAGTTTCATATATTGAATTTCCAGTGTTAATGGTAACCAGGAAATATTTTAATAAACTATATTTTTACGAAGAAGATAAAATAAAATAAATTATTTGTTAATTACCTAAATTAGTTAAAAAAAAATCCCACAGAGTTTTAAACTTTGTCGATAAAATGTCGCATGTTTAACATGGCTCGGTATTCTGGTCATTATAATTTATTGTACTCTTATATTGACGGATAGCGATATCAAAGAAGTTATAATTTATTATTAAAATATATGTATGCAGTGATATTATGATAATTGTATTATACGACCGATTTTGAATTAAAAATTCATCATCAGGTATATCACAGTCAAAATGTAAAACGCGACTGATTATAAAAATGAAATGAATACATAGAAAAAAAAATTGTACAAATTGGTCGTTTTTCGTAGAAAAAATTTATTTTAATAGGAGAGATTATTTAAAATTAGTTATTTTTAGACATAGATATGTTAAGAAATATTATTTCATTGTGTATGTGTAATTCTTCTAAAACTAAATTAATGAAAATATTATTTTGGGTGTTTTATATTTCTAAGTCTGTATTAGTATCAAAACTTATATTATGGTTGTTTACTAAAACATGTTTAGCGAAATTTGAATTAGGGGCAGTCTTTTTTAATTTTATTTCAGAAATGTGTTCTTTATATCTTATTTTAAAATTTATATTTGTCTTACCTATATAAAATGTATTACATTTATAAATTTAAGTTTATATATATATACTAGCATTTTAAAAAGAAGGGGGATTTTTTGTGAAATTTTTAGTTCTATTGATTATATGTCTGATTAAATTATTATTAATCTTAAAAGCGATTTTTACGTTATTTGTATTATTTTTCAGAATTTTAGCGAATTCGTTTGGCACATTATTTTGATATTTCATACTACAATAGTTAATATTATTTGATGAGTTGTGTATTGTTTTTTCTTTAATACTTTTATGAATTGTTTTAATAGTATTTAAATTGAAATAATATTAACTATTGTATGGGTATTGTATTACATATTGTATTGATTTGTATGGGCTATATTATATATAATATTGAGCTCGTGTTGATAATTATGTTTATTTAATGAAATACATTCAAGCTTATAGAATATTAAATTAAAAAATTATAGTTTTGAAATTAAGGGTGATTAGAATCTTGTGGTATTATAGCATCAGTTTGTGTAGGTTTCCTGTAAATACAAAAATCAAATTTTTTTGTTTATAATGGAAACTGTAAGATCTAAGAAATTTAATTTATTATTCATTTGTACTTCGAGTGTAAATTGAATGTTTTTATTTATTTTGTTTGTGTAGTTAACTAAATTTTCTATTTGTCTATTTGAACCTCTAAATAAAATGAACTTGTCATTAACACAGTGGCGGCTACAGTAAATTTACCATGTGTATCCAAATTACTAAAATCTGTTGACACCCACCCACCAACAAAAGTCATTTTTTTAATATGCAAGAACATTTTTATAAAATTCTCTATAATATAAATCTATTTACTAATAAATAGTTTTTATTGTCTGATACACTTGATTTATAAGATAGTCGCCACTGTACTCATTATCCAATCACATCCCTTAAGTGACTTAGAGCCTAAAGGACATACTAACTTCCACTCTCCGGTTTTAAGAATTAAAAATACAAATTTTATAGTCTAAAAGGTACTATTACCTACATAAAAAAATCAAGTTCTCTGCCTATTTGTCAAATCAAAGCCAACATTTTACTTTTCTTTATATCGGTGCAATTTAAAATTTATTTATTAAAATTGATCGTGTATTTATTTTTAATTTAATTAGTAATAACTAATAAATACTTGAGGATACTTTATTTTTTAAATTCAGTTTATTATATTTTTTTTAATTTATTCATTTTATCTCCACATATCAGTTAATTTATTTATTTAATATACTGAAATAATGAAAAGCCGATTAAAATAATAGCTATTAATTAAATAAATTTGTTTTAATTTATACATTTTAAAATTAAATAAAAATTGTTTTTATTTAACATAATATAAATATGTAGTAATTTAATTTTAAAATAGTACAAATCTTACTAAATATAAATTAATATCTATGTAATTATAACTTTTCCTTATACACATACATATAGATATATTATTATACACCTAGATTTGTTTAGCTAAAATGTTTTATTAGAATGTAAGAGTATACCAGATTATTCAAGTTTAACGTTAGCGAAAAAGAAAAAATATGATTAGATACTAAACAATTTATAATAATTTTTAAAAACATAAAATGAAAAAAGTATTTATTAACACTTAAATAAAAAATAATAATAAATATACTTTAGAAAAATGTAAGTATTCTTTAATAAGTTCTTGTTGGCTTATAAAATAACTATATATCTTTGCAAAATTATAAAATGCATCAGTAGGTTATTTACTTGCATTATTAAAAGCTTCTTTTAATTATCCACATCTTTTGGGGAATGGTATGAAAAATCTAATCATTTTCACTAATTGAAAGAGTATTTTCTGAGAAAAAACACGTCTTTGTAAAATTAATAGGTTCTTTGTTATACTGAGATTTTAAGAAAGTATAATTTTATGATATTTAATGAAAACATTTACCGTAATCCGATTTAAACTAATTAATTAACGCGAAATTTAATCTCTTAATAATTATGTCGACAACTTGTTTCTATAATTAATATCGTTAGTATAGATTTATAGTGTTTGAATAATTAAAACACTGTCTAATTAACCAACTAAAAACCGCGCGTTATAATATTATTTTTAAAGGCGTAATGTTACAATATTAATTGATTATCATATTATACACACAAGCTTTCGTGTATATAAATTGCATTTATGTTTACCATGACGTTCGACCAGAGTACTTTTAAGGGGCTCCACAATTTAAAAAAAATATAATGCAATATTGTAATAATTATCTAAATATGCAATTTATTATACTTCAAAAAGTCGTCAAAAATTGTTTTAATTTTATTAATTAATCTACAATTTTTTTGTCAATTTATACTCGATTCTAAAATTTACAATGTCTATTTTAATTTAGAAATAAAATAAATAAGCGATTTGGATAATATTATTACCTATTACTTTATGTTTTTAATTTTGTTCTCTATTTGTACAAGGTTGGTTTACTAATGAGACATAGGTTTAACTTACAATTTCAATTTTTCGAATTTCCCTGATGTATATATTTATTTATTTATATGAATTATGTTAGATAACTCAATTACTCGTCTAAGATAATTCATCAGATAACTAATTTTGTTTATTATCTAGATAAGATAAAAGATAATTAATTATTTATCTAGATAATGCTCAACATTGCCGGTGTGCCTTAGCAACACTAGCACAACTGGCTGGACTGTCCTTGCTAGTATTCTTTGAAAATTTAAAGTCTGAACGATTATTTTTAACCAAATAAAATAAAAAGCACAATCAAAACCAATGAAACTGTTATAAAATCTTAAACAAATCGTAAATATCACGGTCTTTCAAAGCATGTAAAACCAAACTCCGCTCAGAATCTTTTTCCGTATTTTTTTACGGATTTTTACCGATTTCAAAATGGTATATTCCAGATTTGCACTATTCAGTTATGTGTAGTCCAGTTTTTCAGATTCCAGATTTTTACGCGCTCCCATATCATTTATTTGAAAAATCTAACACCTCTAACGCCTCATGTACCGTGGAGTAAAAGCAATATTTTAGACATTTTCTATTCTGTTTATCATAATTGCAAGCAGTAGTGTAACTAGGACGTTATTTTTGGTGGTGGGAGGGAGGGGGGTAATATAAATATTTATTAAAATTTAAGGAACGCGTCGTATACTGCTGCGAATCTACGTCATAAAATATCACAGTAAAACTCGCTGGGATGAGGAGAGGGGGTTGTTCTTCGTCTGTCATGCCCTCTAAATACGAAATCAATAAATAATAATAAAATATCTAACAATACATTTTATTTATATAATATTACGGCGACTGATGCTCATATTGTAACTCGTATTGTAACCTATTTTATAACGATGACATTTAATAATATTTAAAACTGCTGGGGAATTTTTATTTCGGAATACCGATATTTGTTAACAGCTGTGTTATGCATAATATAAAATACTGATATTTTGTCAATTATGTCAGAGGAGACTTCGCCCGTCTCCGACCCTCCACCCAGTTAATGTGATGTTATATTAATACACGACGTGTTTTAATTTATCTGATTCGAATAGTACGTTAAACGTCCTGAAAATAGCGCACGCGATGAAAAGTTCGGGAATGCGTACATTTTACCATGTGACTTCCATTATATAGGAAAAAAAAAATATACAAACTAAACAAATTTTATAAAGTAATCTTATCAACTATATAAATTATATAAATCGTAATATATATAGATTTTAGGATGTTTGCTTTGATATTAGCTGCAGTTTTCAGGTCTCGAACACCAAGGGCGGTTCCCTTTGCCCTAGCCAATTGCTGCCGAGGACTGCTGCGAGTACACCCACGACGCTCAGGAACTTTTGCGGCGAACAAAAGCGATGCGTACACACACACATACACACACACACACACACACACACACACACACATACACACACACACACACACACACACTTGTTGTACATGAATAGTTGCATATTCAACCAATATGTTTACACGGTTGTAATAATAATATACCGTACACAACCTTTGTTTTATCTACCTGACATACGGTTTACTGTGCATTGCACTTACTGCTTAGACCACCTCTATGATTTCTCCAGTCCGCCTGTAAGATTCTTTCGGTTATAAAACTAATTTTGTACTGGTCCCAGAGTGAGTCTTATAAGTCGCGTTCACTGTATTATATAGGTCAATTTCGAAAACTGAATATTTCGAATGTCGGGTATCGGTTTTATATCGGTAAAAACCGATATCGGCAAAAACCGATATCGGCCCATTCCTATTATACGTCGACTATAATGCGAGTCCTAGCTATCGGCGCGCGCGGTACAATATCCAATACGATAATATTAATAGTAGTAATAATAATAATAATAACGCGTACAAAATATATTCCATATAAAGGGTGACAATAATAACGTAATGATACCTGGGTTGTAAAAGAGATCGGCGATTTTTTCATGTCTGGCCGTCTGGGGATAGCTGCGTTCAAGGGCGTTGTTGACTTCCGGCACCGGTTCAGGGTCGTGGTGTTCATCAGGTGCTTCTGGAAAACGGAAACCGAGAAAGGGTGAGGTAAAATCGATAGCCGCCGCCCGCTCGGTCGTTGCGGTAGGTGTGGTTAGTGGGTCGCGCGTTCGGCGAGGCGTTTCCCGTTCGGAGGGGGGGAAGGAGGGGAAGGACGATAAGTATCGTCAACACTTGACGGTGATATATGGTCGTGATAATATTATTATTATTTTAGTATATAAAGATACTAATTTCAGACAGCCATTCCCCGGTTATACTCGCGTATCGCCGCGAAGCGCGGTTTACTATTTCTCCGAGCGTGGGAGACGGGCAGGCGGGCGGGGCGGTAGTCGGGTTAGGGGCCGCGTGTAGGGACGGGGGATGAGGTGTAATTTTGACACCTCCTCTTTCCAGGAGGTTCTAAAACTCACGTCTCTTTTCGGCTCTCGCGTAGTTCCTTGTGTCCGCCTGACGGTTCTGCTGGTTTCCAAACTGCAGCACTTCCTGAGTCTTCTTAGCTACACGTAGGCGTATAGCGCGACAACAGAACCGTTACGATTAAAATTGTTATATATTATTCACACACACGTATTATACCTATTATCGTTATGACAATACCACTCACCTTTGTTCTTGGCCATGTTCTTCTGGATTTTGGCTGCGTCCGTTTTGCCGGGCGTCGGTGACCCAACTGACGCGTGCACTATAATCGCGACCACCGCAAATGCGGTCCACAACAATGCGAAACGAGAAAACGTGAACATCGTGATGTACTTTATAAAGGATGGTCGTGAGACGTGTACTGCTCGGATTGCGTGATGCGCCGTTTATTGCTTCACGGTGTGCAGTCGATCGCGTTCTGTCGGTGGTTACGGCGCGGGGCGACCGTGCTACGTGACAACACGGTGGCGGCGGTGGCGTCGGCGTTATTACGCCCATCCCTACAATATTGACGGTGGAACACGGGACGCCACCCTTCCCCCCTCCTCCTTTCCTCCTTCGCGACCCTCTTGCGCGGCGAGAGGAGCTTTTCGCGGGTCGGACGTAGGCGTCGGTGACCCGGTCGATATTTCCGAGTGTGCGTGTCAAGACACTTCCCCGGGGAAAACGCCCGGACCACCGACGCCACCTGTCGCGCGCGTTGGACGCCGCCGTTGCCCGCGGGATTTCCCTCCGTCTGTCTATATAAAATCCCATTCCGAGACCTAATCCACCCTACCGCCATGTCCTGTTTTCCCCGGATCGGTTTCCCGTTCCAGACCAACGGCAACGGCTAGCGGATTCAGCGCTGCAATACTACAGGTCGATTATTTTATCACGGTAAATAATTTTCACGAACCTTTCCTATTATGGTTCTCAGTTTTAAATTCCAAATCTGTAACCATTGTTATAACACTGATAAACGTTAAAACCATTAGACAGTAATATCAGTAAAATAAACGTAAGTTTACCAAAAAGCAGATTTTTTTCTATAATTGTACGTATTCGATTATGAGATTAATTTGAATAATTTTAATTCAAATTCGAATATAAAAGGTAAATTGTATCACAAGACTACGAAATTTATACGATTTTTTCGAATTTAAGCTCAAAAAACTGCTATTTCATAATCGATTTTAAAAAAAATATAAATAAAGAAAAAAATTATGCTCTTTCGTTTAGCGTGGTCAGATGTTCGAAAATCAGCTTAGAAATATCACCTTTTTTCAATTTATTATTGAAAAATCCGTGAAAATTCGCTATCGAACGATACTCAAATTTTGTCTATATTCTTCATAAAATTTTAACTATTTAGAAAAGATCTCTAAAGAATATGCCATTATATAGAAAAAAGTATGCTCTTTCGTTTGGAATAGTCAGATTTTCGAAAATCAGCTTAGAAATATCACTTTTTTCCAAATTAAAATTGAAAAAACCATGAAAATTCGCTATTGAACGATACTCAAATTTTGTCTATATTCTTCATAAAATTTTAACTATTTAGAAAAGATCTCTAAAGAGTATGCCATTATATAGAAAAAAGTATGCTCTATCGTTTGGAATAGTCAGATTTTCGAAAATCAGCTTAGAAATATCACTTTTTTCCAAATTAAAATTGAAAAAACCATGAAAATTC